GAATTTATAAGGTCTGTGAAATAAGGATTTCCAAGTAAAGGAAACTATTTGAGGATATTTAAAAATGTATTGTAACTGGCTTCTCATATAGTGCAATGTAAACATCAAGTAATCAAGATTAAGTGTAGTCAGACATTAGATATTCTACCAGCTCACAGCCCCTCAAATATAAGTATCAATAGACAATTGATTTTTATTTCTTTCCTTGCTATGGGAGATAAATGGTGAAGGTCCAAATAAGTTATTCTAGAATATAAATGTTGCATTTAAAGTCATGCCTTAAGTTAGGAAGTGAACTTTAGGTTAAAAATTGGAATCTTTTACATTTACATAAATTTAAGGTCCATAAAAATGTTTTCCGTTTGGAAAATGAAAATTACAAACATTACTTATCATTCTAGTTTTCTAGGTCATCATAGCATTTCTTTTATAAATCCTCTATTAATATGAAAGGAGATCTGGTGGCATAGTGGGTAAGGCATTTGGCTGCTAACCAGAAGGTCAGTGGTTCAAATCCACCAGCTGCTCTGTGGGAGGACGATGAGGCAAACTACTTATACAAAGATTTAAAGCCTTGGAAACCCAGTGGGGGTTGCCATGACTTGGAATCAAGTCAATGGCAGTGGGTTTGGTTTTTGGTTTTATATAATATGAAGACAAAGAAGCACATTATATATAAAAATACACATATTCATATGGAGGAAATAGTTCAAAAATTGCAACTTTGATTGAGCATTCCTAATTGACAAGAGATATGAGAATTTCCAAGAGGCAGAACAGTGTTTAAGAAAGCAAGATAAAACCATAGTCCCAAACATAATTTTATACCAAAATCCAAATATAAATCAAATAATTGTTATCAGATTTCTACACCTGAGTATCAAGAAATGTCCAAACACAGGTAATCAACAATTTAAAACCATTAATCTGATAGTCATTACTACCAATTACATATTGTACTTTTCAGCTAGTGCTTGGAAAAAAACTGAAACCCCAGTAAGGATCTTAAGTTAAACAGGATACCACAAGACACAGAAGATGATAGCTTTTAACTAAATATTTCAGAGGAATCCATAAATCTTCAAAAAGAGAGGCAGCTTTCTTAAATATTCATTCAACAGGCTCTTTACAGGCAGTGATTATTTAGGTAACTAAAAGCCACTTTGTTACCATTAACAAACTTCTATATTAAAAGATTCAACATTGGCCTAAAGTATGTCTGTTTACCAAAAAGACAGAGGTCTTATATGTCCCTTGTTTATTTAACACCAACTTAAGATTTAAAAAAAAAAACCAGCATGTCTGCCTGTCTTAACAATTAAGGCAGGTCTATATTTTCAGTAAAACAATCAGAATATGGCCAATTAAATACTTCATTCAAAATCCAAAATGGTTGCATTTAGCTAAAGCACATATAAGTGAATTGGACTGGCAAAGGAAGCTAAGAGAAATTAGTTGGGTCACACTTAAATTCAATTGTTTCACCATATCCAGACTGTACTCAGAAAAGACCTGACAAAGAAATTATCTGAAATTGGTAAAAGCAAAACCATGATATATGTACACACACACACACACACAGAGAGAAATACACCACAACTTTTTTAATGCTTATTATTCAAGATAGCATAACACATCTGTAGATGTATTTGATATTATCATTTTAAATTACGGTCTATAGAGATTTTAAAAAATGATCACTCTCAGTGGATTGTCTTCAAAAATATATAATTTTACATATTTTCAAATTTCAACTTCAAAGATTACTATTTAAGTTAGAAATAAACTAGATTCTTCAGGTTCTAATAAGGACATTGTCATTTGGCAAATTACTGTTAGGATTTCAGTCAATAAGTTTTTCTTGTAAATTTCTATATGTGTAAGTTGGTAAGTACAGCCTAAATCATTGACATACTTAGCCTATTTTAGTATTATGGATAAGTATGACAACTTTTGCATTATGAACAAAGTTCAATATTCCATTTCTGAAAACATATGCTGGTGTTTTGAAATTCAGACTCTTACAGATTATTTGTGGCCAAATTATCACATGCACTGACTACCCTAGGTCAGAATCATAACTATAATTCTTATACTGAGTTCAGCTTATGGGAAATAAGGTGCAGAGAAGAGGCTCTTTCCCACTCTCTCCACTCTCCTATTTAAAGTTCCTTCATCACTGATAGAGTTTTCCAAGCTATTTTTTTCCCCTTTAACATTCTCTGCCTATGACTTAGTTAAGGGGGTAAAAGTCAGAAGCCATAGTTTCATCATTATCATTGTAATTTCCTTTATACTCTCTTATTCCACATTAATTTTAGCAAAGTTAATTGCACAACCAAAAACTTGTATGCTTTAGAAACTGGATATGACCATGCATCTATGTATAGTTCTACCTTACTTTAATGTCTTTAACTCAGTAACCCAGGAGAATAATGGACATTTCTTATCGAGCTCATGTTTTGTTTTTACAGAACGACTAATTCAAGTGTTAAATGGGGGAAATACAGCATTTATGTATAAATTTAACTATATTTCTCACTTACATGTTTTACATGTGACTAAAACATTTTTCCACCAGAGACTCAAGCCCTTAACTTCATTTTTCCTTGACTACTTAAAAAGCATTTCCATAATCAAATGATTACAATCATTAATTATATTAAACAAGGAATATTTTTACTCAGTGCATCAATAAGATTTAAAAAAAAAAGCATAAAAAAAGTACAAAACATGTTAGGCATTATGTGAAGCATAATGAAAGACAGCAAGATTACACGTTGATCACACACAGGTAAACATGATCACTGTCATGATCATGAGCAGGCCAAAAGGATGAAGAGTACTGTCTGTCATGAATAAGTATCCTTTTCACCTTCAAAAGGAAATCACATAAGCAATTTCTTTTGTTTTAATAATAGAGAACACAGCACTAATTAATGTCCACTCAAATTGAGAAAGCTTTAAAATATCTTGTCATGGGCTTTCGCAATATTTCTTCCATGAAAAACATTAGCAAATAAAATGTATAATCTTTGAATTCTAGCAAAAGTACTGTACACATATCAAGTGTTCAGATATATGCTGAATGAAGAAATAATATTCATAATAACCAAGTACTGATTATGAGGCTAATGCCCTAAACATGGAATTTGCATGGCTTTGGAGAAACAGTATGCATCTTCAGAATAAAGTAATTCCAAAAAACTCATCAAATAGTTACCAAAATTTTAGCATTTTAATTTGATAAATGAGTATATAGGAGCTCTGGTAGCATAGTGCCTAAGGCACTTGACTGCTAACCAGAAGGCTGGCAGTTCAAACCCACCAGCCACTCCTCGGAAGGAAAATGGGGCAATCTACTTCCGTAGTGATACTGCCTCGGAAGCCCAAGGAGGGGTCACTATGAGTCAGGTCCGACTCGACAACACATAACAACAACAACAAATGAGTATATAACCTAAAAGATGCTTTTCTTTGGTCAGTTGATGAGGACACAATATAGGAATAAATAAAAACTATCTCTGTGTAGAGAGTAAAAATCAAAAGGGTAAGAAAAAGAAGCTTCATAGAATCTTCATTATATTTGGTCCCACTTATATACGCACAGCAAATGACCCAGTAACACTAATAATCCTTATCATTAAAAACACCACGTGATTATTCATATATTATTTGTACTCATTGCATTATATAGATTCACTAGTGTATTTGCCTTTAGGAATTCGAAAAATAACACTGAATGTACATCCTGCATTTCCTGAAGTACTTTACTGTGAACAATAACTTGAGTGCAAAACTGAGAAGAGATTCATCAGAATTTCAAAGTAAAACCCTATGCATCACCTAATTCTACTGGAAGCGATGCTCATAGCAAATTTCACTTATCACTTGAAACATATTTCTGCCCTTGGATACCAGAAGCAAATTAAAAACATGCTGTTGCTCTGCTTTGGCAGAGCTGCAATGTGTTATGTTTAAGTAGTTCAGCAGTCAGATTTAGCTTGCTTAAATTACAATATAGAACCAATATAATCATAGAATTTAGGGCAAAATGCATTAGTAATTGCCATTGGAATTACTATACTGAAACAGAATTAATAGGATATCCAAATAATTGTATAACATATTTTTCGCAATGAACAACTATTTTCTACACTGATCAACTTTTTATATGTAAAATATGTGTGATACACACACACACATATATACACACATATATATTAAATATATACATATATAAAGTAATTTTTATGGACTCTAAATATGAAAAGCTTTCTTCACAGAAATGAAAAGAATACACTTCATCATTTCAAAAATACATTGTCTTGCAAAATAAAATTGAAAGTGAAAGCTATTTTTAAAATCATGTTAGGAAGTACATGAAAGAAAATATTCCATAAAAACATTTTTTTTTCCTGCTGATAACAAGTCCTTTCAACGAACCCTACTTTCAAATCTTTTGCAAATCACAAAAACAGATTTGATTAATAAAGCTGCACAATGACAATTATGAAGCAGTTTATGTAATTGGCATGACATAAAATGATAAAAGAAATGAACTATATGTTTAAAAATATTGCCAAAATGGCATGCAAGCAGACACCAGACATGTAGCTTTAATGTAAATTTAGTTAAAGCTTGTGACTAGGCTATGTCTTTTCCCTCCAAATCCAAGCTTTTCATCTAACAAACCATATTATTAAGTAGAATACCTGAAAATTGCTGTCAATTTTCAGTAAGTACATAAAACCTCCGCTCCAAAACGCACTGGATTAACTCAGAGCATTCTATCCTCAGTCTTTCTTATTTATATAATGGAACTCTCTCATTTCTACTTATAAACTATTTTGAAATATGTAGTAAATGTGTAAAAATACATGTAATAAAATGTTTTCTGAATACTCTAGATGAATATATTGAATGTGAAGGCATATGAAGATTTAAATTTTTTTTAAAGCATATAATGTTGATGCCATCAGGAAAGTCTCACTACTTACAGATTTTGCAGTGGCAGAAATATACTGGACAACCATCTCACGTTTGGTGGTAAAATCTTTATTTCGCAAAGGAGCTTTTTTCTCTTCATTAAGGTTCATATCTTCCTGTTAGAAAGAACATATACTGTGAGCATTGATACATTTCTGCATAAGAGTTTCCAAAGTGCTTACTATGATACTTTCCCTATCTTAAATGGAGTCTCTGGATGGCTCAGCTGCTAATCAAAAGGCTGAAAGTTTAAGTCTATCAAGGAACCTCAGAAGAAAAGCCTGGTGACCTAAATCTGGAAAGTCAGCCATTGAGAACCATACGGAACACAGTTCAACTCTGATTCACAAGGGATTGTCATAAGTCAGAGTCGACTCTTCAGTAACTAAAAACCAAACAAAACCAAACTCACTGCGGATGAGTCGATTCGACTCATAGCGATACCTCCTTAAGTTTCTGAGATGGTATCTCTATGGAAGTAGATTGCCCCATATTCCTTCTGAGGAGTGGCTGGTGGATTTGAACCAGCAACCTTCTGGTTAGCAGTCAAATGCCTTAGGCACTGAGCTACCAGAGCTCCTCTATAGTAACTGGTGGTGGTAAAAAAAAAAAAATCCACTGCTTTGAGTCAAATTCCAACTTATAGTGACACTACAGAAGAGAGAGCCATGCAAATGAGTCATCATAATAAAATAGATTAAATATAATAGAGCTATATACAAGGTAGGAGCTCTGGTAGCGCAGTGCCAGCCTAACCAGAAGGCTGGCAGTTCAAACCCACCAGCCACTCCTCAGAAGGAAGGTTGGGCAATCTACTTCCATAGTGATACCGCCTTGGAAACCCAAGGAGGGGTCGCTATGAGTCGGGTCCAACTTGATGGCAAATAACAACAACAACAACATAGAACAGAGAAGAAATGTCCCATAGGGTTTCCAAGACTAAATCTTTACAGAAGCAGATTGTGATATCTCTATTGTGCAGAGAAGCTGGTGGGTTAGAACCACTGACCTTTTCGTTAGCACCTGAGCACTTAAACACTACGCTACCAAATTTTCTTCCTTACACCATAATCTTACATAAATTTTACCATATATTCATGGTATATACCTCTACATAGTCAACTAATGAACAGAATGAAAAAAAGACATTGTTTATTCCACAGGAAGAACTGACAGTTAATAACATAAACATACATCAGACAGTCTTAGCTATTCATTTATTTTGATAACACAAACAAAACTCGACATTAAATCCTTTACTATTTGGTATATGCTCCCTTAAGACTACTGTTATCCAAAAAGGTAAATATGATTTACAAATTACAGAACATATAACTATAATTTGTCACTAAAGAAAAATCCATGAGGAATTGATGGATTTGGAAAGACAAAAAAGGGAAATCAGAAATATAGTTACCTCTTTTAGAATAACAAAAATCATTCATGAGAGAATAATATTTAGTTACAAGAACACATTTGTGTCACTACAACAAGCTCTAATTTTGTTGGGAATTTTCCATCATTTTGTGATATAGGATATTTTCACTAGACAAATTATGTTTCCACACTTTAAAACTCATAATAATCTTTGTAACAGATGAGGATACTCTAAAGGGGTCACAAAACCAAGTTGGAAATGACTGGACTTCAAAGACCAACATCAAGTGAAAAGACAGTCTACAGAATAGGTGAAAATGTTTACAAATTGTGTCTCCTAAGAGATGTGTATACACTCTTACAACTCAACAATAAAAAGATAAAGAAATCCAACTTCAAAAATGGGCAAAGGATTTAGAGATTTCTCCACAGAAGATATACATATGGCCAAGAAGCACCTGAAAAGATGCTCAACATCATTAGTCATTAAAAACAAAAACCAAACCCACTGCCATCAAGTCAATTATGACTCATAGTGACCCTTAAGGACAGAGTAGAATTGCCTCATATAGTTTCCAAGTCTATAATCTTTATGGAAGCAGATTGGCAGGTCTTTTGTCCCACTGCACAGCTGGATGGGTTTGAACCATTGACCATTTGGTTAGCAGCTGAGTGCTTAACCACTATACCACCAGGGCCCAGGGAGATACCACTTAACACCCACTAGGATAGCTAGAATCAAATAAAAATGTTGGCAAGGATGTGGAAAAATTGGAACCCTCGATATCAAATGATGAACAAAAGAGACTAGAAAACACTATTAATGCAGTTCACAGATGCTCAGCTATGCTCTGTGTCTATTTCAACTAACAGGGAATATACTACCTCCACTGGTAACCTACCCCATCTTTGGGCTCTTTTTAATTTTTGTCAAGTATTTCCTTAAAGTACTGAACTTGAAATGTTGTTGTTATATGCCGTCGAGTCAGACCCGACTCATAGCGACCCCTCCTTGAGTTTCCGAGGCAGTATCACTATGGAAGTAGATTGCCCAACCTTCCTTCTGAGGAGTGGCTGGTGGGTTTGAACTGCCAGCCTTCTGGTTAGCAGTCAAGTGCCTTAGGCACTAGGCAACCAGAGCTCCTGAACTTATAAATAAATATATATATATATAAAATACTAATTTGTTAAGGTGGTAGGACTATGCCATTTTTCTCCTCTTTTTAAATTTTGAACCAGTTATTTACTGGACACATTCTATGTATCAGAGACTACTAAGCTGGTGAATCAAAAAAATAAATAAATAACCATGACCATCGAGTCAATTCTGACTCATACTACCCTATAGGACAGAGTAAAACTACCACCCTAGGATTTCCAAGGCTATAAATCTTTACAGAAGCAGACTGTCTCATCTTTCTCCCACAGAGCAGCTGATTGGTTCGAACTGCTAACCTATCGTGATTAGCAGTTGAACACTTTAACCACTAGGCTACCAGAGTTCCTACTAGGCTGGTTAGGGAAGTGTAAATTTAAGATATTGCTTCTACCTTCAAATTAAATGAGTTTTTATTTATGAAACCTTTGGAACAATGTCCAATACTTAGTAAATGTTCTTTTTTATTAAATAAACAATTCATATTCTAGTAGGAAAGACCAATACATAAACAAATAATTGTAATAGAGGTATATGTAGGATGCTTTAGAAATAGGACAGATGGAAATGTCTGAGAAGTCTTCACCAGGGTTTAGGTTTTGTAGAATGAGAAAAATCTGTCTGAAGGCAAAGAAACGATCTAGGAGACTAGAAGTCATCTGTCACATTTGGCTGCTGAACATCATTTTTAACTCCCCTCTAAATTTTAATACATCCTCACAATGTCAGTCAGTCCCACCTAACCAAGGTAGAATCCATAAAAATTACATTTATCAGTCTCCCTTATAGCAGAGGTACAGCCATGTGTCTCAGTTTCCACCAAAGAAATTCATATATGAGAGGTGAAGATTCAGAAACGAAACACGTAAGTAAGCAGGCCAGGACTAGGCCATCATTTTGATAGTGTGGGGAGAAGAAACAGGGATGAGAGGGTTCTGAAACTGATGGCACCAGACACATCTTTTTCATCAAGACAATTTTTCCAAGCAGTTCAGGAATTCATTCCTGTAAGGTTAACTACAGCTTGTTTCTGCAAGCCCTACTAATTCGAGAACTACCTAATACTCTTTAATGGTATTTATTTATTTATTTATTTTAACTAGCCAGAATGGATTCTCTCGTATGCAATAATCTGGGCTTTTGAAGTAGTAATTCAGGAGACAAGTGATAAGAGCCTGAACTAAAAGAGATGGTAATCAGATTGAATAGAAGGAAATCAAATCAAGAACCATGTAGAAGTTATTTCAAGGCAGCATTCTCAGGCTGAAGTAGACCTATGACCTTCAACTTATCCTCATGTGACAGGGCTTAATATCCATGTTTCTCTCAAAAACTCTGTGGTTTGATATATGCAAGGAAGCAAAACACTTGCACCCCCTTCACCTTAAAATACTACATCTGTACCAATTCAGCCCGAT